TGTAATGTGAATACGTGTGTATGCATGTAATAAAATCATCCAAGTTGATATTAGCATATTGTACTTTTATTTTCTTCAGTATTTGTATTTTTCAAAAATCGTTAATTTATATAAAACGATTAATAAAACATATAAGAAATAATAATATCTGAAATTTAAAAATAATCTTTTATAGAGAAGTCATTCCATATTATTGTTTATTACTTTTTATCAAGTTTATTTAATGAAATGTTCCTTTAAAATATTTAAAACATAATTAATTTTGTAATTAATCTTGTGTAGTATAAGATGTAAACGATATAAACTGTAAATGATGAAAAACATACTGTATATGATCGATACATTTAATCAGCTTTATTTTATAAACTTCGAATATGTATGTGTATCTTTGCATGTATAATAAATCGATCATATAATACATATTCAAGGACTAATCTAATCCTAGCTCATCCATGAAATAACAAAGTCATGATTCGATTCGACTTATTTACTTAAGTAATATGTGCATACGTCTTCACGTATCACACACACATCTAATAAAATGTTCAAAAATCCATTACTTCGAGTTAAAATTAAAAGTAATTAAGACTCACTCACGTGACACGCAGTAATGGAGTACAGCATTAAACTAATATAATATAAAAAAAATATATATATATATTTTTTTTTCATGCTATAGCACAGATTTTTCAAAATAGAATTTTAAAAAATAAATATTGTATGTAAAAATACTAAAATAATTTTTACCAAAAATCCTTTCTCCAATGTTTCCAATAGTTAAAAATAAATTTTTTTATATGAATATAAAAAATAAAAAAAATAAAAATTTTAGATTTATACAATATTAGAAATACTAAAATATACATAAAATCTATTATTCTTTTGAAGAAATTAATTTTAAAGTTAAAGGGATCTTATAAATTTATAAAGAAATGATTAATATCGCTAATAAAAAATAATTAATGAATGAATAATAAAGTACTTATCTCATCGTTGCTCCGCCATTGCTCTTCTAGGGCTTCCTCGTCCTCTTAGCGCTTTGTTATATCACTCACACTCACTCGCAAGAGTACAGTCAATTACGATGTCGCACTTTGCAAAGTACTCTCGACAGAGCCACTTTTTCACATCATAACGAAAGAGAGGTAATGTAAGAAAAGTATTGTCATTTGACACTATCAATTTCTCGTAATTACATTCCGTTGATTGATTAAAGAAAAATGATTGCGTCTCGTACTTGCGCGATCTCACCATGACGGTGTAACGAGACGAATTGCGACTCATCTTCCTTCATCCCTACAAGTTCAAGGCTCGATGTGCGAATGGTAAACACAACAACCTCGTTTACAGTTGTGTGCTATATCCATCAAGCATCGAGCACGAAGCTTGGGGAGGACTGGTTTACATGCTATATGTAGTTAACTTTTTGCAGAAATATTTTATACGTTACAAAATAAATTTCATTCACCAAATATCCCTCCATCTCTTACATTCCGGATAGCATTTCCTATTTACGTGTACTGTAAAGGTCATCGTTCACTTTTTTATCACTTTGTCTTATATTGATTTCAAATAATAAATAATACATACGATTCAATTATTATTAATATTAAACAATCGTTGTACATGCAATAATTGTATCATATATGATACAGTTGTTAAATGTGTCGCAATTATTTCATGAATAATAAATTCGATAAATATTGAAATTGTTCAATTGAAATTTTGATTTCGATTAAAAACGTTTTGCGAAACTACAGGATAATTATTATTGATTATTTGAATTGTGCTAAATTTATTTATTTATAATTAAATTAATATGTATTAGATTTCTGTAATATATCGCAAATTTTAAATTATTACATGCAAAGCATGTAGCTTTTACTTTTAATAAAAATGTGAATGTTTATTTACTAAAATTATTAAATCTAATATTTATTTGAAAAATAGAAATTCCTTTTACTTTTATCAAAAAAGTATTTATATAAATTATAATATTTATATAAATTATTATTCATTACTATCAATTTTCTTTAAACATCTTCATTATAAAAGGTACGAAAATATATAATTTTAATATAAGTCAAGAAATTAAACTTATATTAAAAATACAGTATTATCTCAATTTTGTTAAAAGCAAATTTATTAAAATTTCATTGTACTCGGATGTAAAAAGTTTGAAAGATAATAAAAGTAAATTAATTTTCAGGCTTGCCTGATCAAAACAAAAATAAATTTTATTTCCTAAAAATTATCGTTTGATTTAATAATTTTCTTTAAATACAACACTTAAGAAATTATTTAAATTTTTATTAAAAAGATGGATGATTCCTGTTCATTTCTGATTAAACTGGATTACAATTTATATTCTCATAACAACATATAATATTTCAAAATCAAACTTTTATTAAAAAATTATAAAGATAATTTACGTATAGTTAATTTACGTATAATTAATATTTGTTATAAATAATCAATGATGCTAACAATAAGTCATATTAAATCTGTCAGAACTTATTAAAATATTAAAAGGTAAAATTCATTAAACAGTAAAAATTAATATCGTCTATACTACAACAAATTGATAATAAATAACAAATTAGTAAACATAATTATAACTTTATTGCGCGAATTCTACACAATTCTACACCGACCAACTTTAATCAATTATAATTCGGAAGTTATTGTAATTTCGAAATTTTCATATTAGCATTATCGACTTTACTTAATCTGCAGAATATATTATTAGAATATGGTGATTTGCGGAATATTTCGTATAAAGCCTGATCTAAGCAAGTAAGTGCGAACAAACACAAATAACTTGCTTTGAGAAGTACAAATAATGTTAATATAGCGATAGTTTATTCGCGTTTATTTAATCGATATTCATAATAAGATATATATTCATTAAACGTGACGACTTCGACAAAATTAGATAGAAGTAATAAATATTATAGATTTAAAAAATTAAAAAATAAGCTAAATTTAAGAAAAATTTAGAAATTAAAAATGCAAAGAGCGTAATTTAAGAGATTAAAAGCCATAATAATATTTGCTTGGCTTTTGGAATTTTGTTATTTCAATATTTAACCCCCCGTCCGGGGTTGAACGTGAAAGATTTTCTCGTCAAAACCAGGAACAAGGGTCGACTATTAATTTTCGGTAATCGCGCAAAAGAGACAAGTGACGCGCAAGTTTCCGGGCAAAAATGATTAACTGCTCACGTCATTAGGCGAGGGAAACACATCCCTAACTAGTCAGTCGGCACCCCCCGTGCCGCATTAACCCACCCTGCATTCTCTGCCCCTGCTAAACAAATGCGCTCTCTTTCTTTGTGGGCAACTCTTCCCGAGAACTTAATCAAGTTCGCTCGTAACTTTTAGTTACGAGGGCGCACTTCGAACGGGTCTACATCGAGAATTGCTTTCACGTTGGCGACCTATTGTCATACCTTCCTCGCGAAAATGCTTTTCATACGTTTCACTTGGCTACGAGACCATTCATAGTCTCTGTAAGAAGACAGAATGTAAATGATAACGATCTTTTTTAAGATCGCCTGCTCGGATAACGAAATTCTCTACTTGAATTCCACATCACATTTTAAAATAACGAAAATTCTTCAGAGAAATTTTTGCTGTCTTGAAATAATTTATAACATTATATCATGTATCCTTTGTATATATGAATAACAAGGAGGAACGATTATGATCATAATTTTAATCAGTAATATATAGGACATTTCATTATTATTTAACAATCTAGATATTAATTAAAGCCAAGAAATCAGTGATATATAGGACATTTCATTATTATTTAACAGTCTAGATATTAATTAAAGCCAAAAACGGAAATATAACATTTCAAGTAACATTTTCATATTACATTATTCTTCAACTCTAACATACGATGTCAAATATTGTATAACGATTATGAGACATTTTGCGTAGAGGAGAGAGATAAAAGATATCTGTCGAAAATTAAAAAATATTTACGGTAATAAATTGGTTTGATTTCTGCACTTTGGCTTAAATTTTCAATTTATCTAATGAAATTCGTTACCTCGAAATTCTCTTAGCTCCCAAATTGATGGAAACATTGCTTCGGAAGAGTGTTTGATTACGGTAGGGTTCGTCCCTTAAGCCGATAATACAAACCACAAAATCTAGTTAAAGATAATTGAATCACGAAGAATTCGATAAGAAAAGTTACGAATAACGAATACGGCATAAACAGCGACTAGAGGTTTTAGGCAAAGCTCGTCGAGATCCTCATGGGACAGGAAAGAGCAGTTTATATATGTGAGAGAAATATTAAAGTAAAGTAAACGTTAGATAATAAATATCTCCGGCAAAAACCCGATGGAACTTATTCGTGAGGGAGTAGATAAACTTTTGGGTCGTGCGGTCGGGACTTTCAGTCGACTTTCAGTCCGCTGCGACGAGGCCCTTCTAAATATCGCAGTCTTTAATCCGTAAATGTGTTGTAATTAAGGTGAGGCTGGGTTAAAGTCCTTGTAATGGGCGAGGCGCGCAAAGCCCACTCCAATTTCGGTTGCTAGGAAACTAATCTTCCGACACTTCGTGGATTCCGCGCATTTCGATTTGCCGAGTAGAAATTACTCCGATCTAACGAGTGCCGATGAAACTTTGGCTTAGATTGCAATAGACGGAATGCACCGAGTTACGCCACATCGGCATACGACGGCTTTAAGGCTCTGGACCAATCATACTGCAGTCAAATTGCAGCCAAATTTGCAAAGGTCAGCGAAAAATCATGTATTTTTTTCACCTTATTGAATTAACTGTGCCACAAATAATATATATTTTAATTATACGAGTCCAACAAAAGTAAAATAAACACGAATTAAATAAATTATATAAACTGCCTGTCAATTTATTATTAAATATAAGTAATAAAATATACAATGAAAAACGAATGATGGAAATGTAAAAAATTTGATGAGACTTTTCATCATATTATTTGATAATTAATCTGTTTGTATTTTAGAATTATACAAAAAAAGAAGCAAAAATCGAGCCGAAGTTATAATTATAAATAGCTTTAGATCAACCTTATATTCTTGTTCTGCTTTTAAGAGGACGTGAGATGTGTCAGGACAGACATGCCAGCTTAATTCTTTGGTTTTAGGCATTATCGCTCGGCCCTTGAAGGCTTGGGATTCTCTCGCAGCGGCTTAAACCGAGATTACATTTAGTGTAAGAATTCTTCGAACAGTTCGTTGTACTTACCCCATCGGTCGTCTCAGGCATCCTCGACTTCCGCATTCCTCGCTAGAAAAAAAAGAAAAAAAAGATCGTTTCAATGTTAATGAGTTTCACTTTCGCATTATCTAGATGTTTACGTGGAGAAATTAACTCCGCCGTGGATGGATAAAATGATTTACGATAAAATTGACTTCACGTTTCCGAATCCGCGATTTTCGGAACGGATCAATCTCTAAGTCTATAGATCTATGTACTATCCGCTGTCAGATTGACGGCGGCACGCGGCCGAAGGAATCATCGGGGAAAATAAACCGAAGGAAAGTACATCGGCAGCCTGTTTCTGTATCGCAGCTCGTGCCCGGAGGAAGGGAGAGGGGATGAAAAAAGAGGAATAGACAAACGAGAAACGCACCACTCGGAGAATCGGAGTGCCCCACGCTGAATTTCCCTCGAGAAAATCACCTTATCCCCCAACCTCGATCCTTGTTCCCGCAGACAGGAATGAAATATCTATTTGCATACGCGAGTCCCACGGCGGTCTGAACTCCCGGCAAGGTAAATAACGATCTGAAATTCTCGCGGCGGCATCTTCGATGGCGGCGGCGGCGGCGGCGGCGGCGGCGGCGGCGGCGGCGACGGTGGCGATGGTTGTGAATTGAAGGCTTGCGGCTATGAGGATCGACGGGGGAACTACTTTCTTCGATAAATGAGTTATTCGCCATTTAGTATTCGTCGAACAGCGGTGGAAAAAGGCAATGCGCCTTTCGCAGAAATTACCTCGATTCTCTCGTAAAGTGTACAAGATGGGAACCGGGTTGCGAGGTAAAAATACGACACGTGGAAAAATAGGATGACTTTTCGTGATAAAGAAAGCTTGGTGTTGTAACGGGGCTGTACATGTCGGAGATTAAGGAAATCATTTCTTGAATTTCTCATTAGATTTTTCTCAAAGATTTTGCCTTTTATTCCTGCGCTTTCAATCCCCCTTGTTATTTCAATTTTCATCGTCTACGAGACGGACGCGGAGCCCGGACGTGACCTAGAAACTTTTTTCTGCCACTAGACGTTGTATCGACGTAATCTCCAATAAATGCATAATCTCGCCGCGCCGTCGTATGCATTACGAAGACTGCGCCGCGCAAAGAGATCAAAGCGGAGATACTTTACGATGCTTTTATGTCGGGGCTGGTAGCTCGGAGCTAAGGAAAGAGATTAAACGCAAACACGAATGGTACAACGAATCGGCTACGTAATGTCGAAGCGTATTGACTTACGTCTATATAGAGTGCTACAAAGAGACATATCAGTTACAGAACTACGCTGAAGCAATTCCGCAAGAATGTCACACGAGAATCCATATATCCAGGCTGTAATTAATTTTCATTTTATAAATTTTGAATTTATAATGAGCATTTTTTTTACATATACATAACAGGAATACATATCTAACAAAGTGTCGCGGATTTTTATTTTGAGCAGACACACATTAAAGGAATTGGTGTTTTTAACACTCCACTCGTAAGATTTTTACGTGCTACTTTGGGCAAATAATAAATTTTTCAATGTGGGACGAGAATGTACCGCTGCATAATACGATACAATTTGCTTTGTGTGCAGATTAATACTAAGGCGCATTGTGCGAGATGAATACGGATGATATAAAGCCAGAATAGATTAGGACGCTGTTGCGCGTCAATACGCCATAGAAATCCGGTCCACTCCGGTGTCAGTATCTGCAATCTATTCTGATGCTATTTTGCTCCGAGTGCAATTCGGTAACTTCATTAATTAGACAATCGCGCGTTTAGCGTGGCGTCTTAACGAGGAACGACGGCAACTGTCACAGTTCCTCGACCAATGAATAACTCTCTCAGCCTGGGAATCGCAGTGATCCGCAAATCCTATCTGTAACGCGATTAAAGGAAGCCGACGTTTATAATTACACGTCACAGATTAACAAAGTAACAGAAAAAAATTTAAGCTTCTACTTTTAAAAACGAGTAATTCGAAATGACATACATTTCTTCTCTTTCTCTACTACTAGTTACCAATTATAAAAATTGTATTACCGTAAATAATTAAAATATGCGATCCGTTTCTAAGTTTTTAAGTTTACGGTGTTATAAAGTTTGTCATTGGTTTTTCCAATATTAATTCTCGGATGAAAACTAAGTTCGACCGTTCAATTTAATTTAAGAGACAAAACATGATAACGATGGTAAGTTAGTAGACTGTCATGCGTTTTAAACCGTGACCAGTTTTATGTGACAAAAATAATTTCAGTGCATATTGATCAACAGTTTCAGGGATAGGGAAAGATAATATTGCGCGATAAATATATTACGGAAATGCAGTGGAGAATGCAGCAAGTAAAGTGCCGCGTGTGTCTATATATGCGCGCTCGCGCTAGTTAAAGGGTTGACTAACGTGATCCAGCACGTTAGTTATGATAAATGGCCAGACAGTCGGCGAAACTTTGGCTTATAAATCTATCTTACTGTCAACCTTCCACGGCCTACGACCGCTGACCGTTTCCCGAGGCAATGGATCGTATAACCCATCGTATAACCCATTTGCCAAAATTTCTCGCATTCGGGATTGCGGTGAGGTTATCGTGTCGTAAAGCTCGATCTAAACTTCCGTACTTAATACCCGAACAAATTTGTACACGTCAGATTTAATTGACGTGAGTTAACCAGCGGATCTGTTAATTATCGCGATATCCATCAAGAACGTAGGGTGACACAAGACCAGAGGCAACGAATATCCAATTCCACTTTAGAAAAATATTAAGAAATGTTAAGAGACCAAGATGTCCAGGATATTTTATTACGCGATTGCAGATGCGATTTAAAATATAATTTTTTTTTTTTTTTAAAGAAAATAGAGGAAAACTCACTCGCTGTCGGGGGTTACTTTTCTTCGCGCGACGGATTTTTTTTTTTTTGCAAGTTTTCTACCCATTTGCGTGGCGACGAATAAAGAAATCGGGCAAAGAAATGTAGGCGAGAAAGGTCCCCCCCGTGAAGTCGGAAAAACTCACGCAGCTGGTCTGTGAGTATACTTTCGATTAGTCTCTCTCGCGAGGAATTTTTCCCTTAACGTCGCAAATGGAGCTGTCAGTCCCGGCGACGAAGCAACAGCTTTATAGTGAAAGTTTCCCCCTCGTCTAAAGGGGAGGGGCAGAGGGGGAAACAGACTGTCGTAATACGACCGTTCGAGATCTCGAAGTAATGCGCTTCACGCACGTGTTAACGTCCGCACACGTTTGGCATGCAAAACTCCGAAGTAACCCACAACTCCTTATCGCAAACTGACACCTCCAAATAAGAGGGAGCAAATTGAAAGCGAAAAGAAAAGAGTTTTTACTTTCGTTCATCCTTTACATTTATTTGCGTATTTTAGAAGGCAAGGGATAACGTAAATTCAAAATAAATTCGCATCTCTTGTTTCTAAGCAATTCTACATTAGTAAAAAGTATTAGGTCAACGACGTTTTATTTGCCAAATTCAAAGTCGATTTTTAATTCGAACAGAATTTCGATTGCTCATAATTATAATAACACGCGACATTTTTATTTAGGAAAATCTGACAATTGTATTTTAATTCAGTATCCATTTCATACATTTTTATATTTAGAAAAATTCCCAAAATCGTATCTTTTAGAATGCAAAAAAATGATTAGCGGTAACCGTGAAGCATCTCGTACAATTAAAATATAGAGCCGTAGCGGATCGATGACCGCAGCCACTTTGTTAGCCGCGAATGTGCCCGATTTAAGAGTTAAGTGAGTCAGTGAGATCCACTACGACGGACACTAAACTTACTTTTCACGAGAGAAAGGTACCACATTTCAGAATGGAAACGCTGAAAGAGACGAACAATAATCCTGCGAAGCAAAAAAGTGGTGCGCATCGCGTTTCGATTAGAAATCTCCGCGTCTCGCGATTTCAGAAGAAACGTTTAACTCGCAAAACGATAAAAAACGGCGGGATATGGAACTCCCGTGGAAGGAATATGCATTGTAATAAGCGTCGGGCGCCGCGGTGTCTGGAACGAATCCCGAAAGAAAATTTCTCTGCGAATATTTTCGTAACCATCCAGCGCGGACTGCAGACGCGGTAAAAATCTAATTAGAACGCATCTCTAATAAGCAAACACTGAAAAAGGCACTGTCTGCGCTTTACGGAGATAATACTGGACAATTCATTTTACGATTAGAGGCTTACAGATGAGCGAAATAAATTGTCTTTCACGCTAGAGGAAAGACAACGAACCTATTCCTCTTTCTAAACTCTTTCTATTCTCTTTTCTTAATTGGGTCGGTCATTTAAGAAACAAGATAAGTCACTTTCATTCCTCAAGTTATAATTGTTTCTCCTGAGAAATATCGCAAAATGATTTCTTCAGCTTATTTCATGAAATCTTTAAATGTATCTTCCAGGTTTTTGCATTTAAAATAAAGTGTTTCTCCACAAATTCCCCGATTTTGTTTCATTTTTAAAATAAATGATATAAAATTTCCTTTATATTTTCTCATCAAGAAAGATATTAAAAATGATATCTTTCGATAATACACTTACATATTCTATAAATACACTATTTATAAAATCTCTCTTAACAAAAGCACATCCTAATTATTAGAAAATCATTGAAGTTTCATAATATTAAATAAAAATGATTTTCTGTAAAATAGATTCTGACGGGAGCTATTTTTATCCATTTTTCTACCGCCTTCACAAAGGATTAAGCGTACGGGAACAGCAACGAAAATTAATTTTCTTCTTATATCTACTTTATTTCCTCCCGGTTAACAAAAAATGACATTACACTATGCAGGTATTACGTTTAAAAAAACATAATTACACAATAACTGTTACACATTGTACACTATAAAGTATTAATGCTATTAATTAAAGCTATAGCTTTTTCTCTATATTTCGTAATATCAGATTATAAAAAATAAACATGAAATACAAATGTAACATAGAAATCTGAAAGAAGAATAAACTTTCTAATAATTATCAATTCTATCGCATTTGATAATTATAAATTGGTATTACAAA